ACTAGCAGACACACACACACACACACAAGGTCACTCACTAGCAGGCACAAACACACACACACACACACAAGTTCACTCACTAACAGGTACACACACACACACACACAAGTTCACTCACTAACAGGCACACACACAATCACTGTCATGGCTAAAGCTTACCTGGCACTGGTAGGCAAGTTGCCATTTTGTGGCCCTTCTTTCCAGCGAGGTCAGCAACTTGCGTGGAAGTGGGACTTGCATACAGGTTATGTTCAGGAGGTGGGGCTTGCGTGTGGAGGTGGGGATTGCATGCGGAGGTGGGGCATGCAGCAGAAAATAAGGTAAATTTTGAAGGGAGACTGACCGGTCTCCCTTTGGCCGCAGGCAGCCTAATGGCGGGCGCACAAGCCCCCAGCTCCTCTCTCTTTACTCCCCTCAGACTGACACAGGCTGGCACAGTCCGAGGGGAAAATCATTTAAATGGAATTAGCCTAATTTAGGGCTGTCTGATCTGCCCAGGTGCCGTGGCCTACTGTATCCCGGTGTGCCAGTCCAGCCCTGCTTGTGAGTACATCTCCTTATATTACTTTTACCAATTTTAAATGTGATCACTATATTTATATTTTTTATGTATATATCTCCAGTTAGAATCTGCTGCTATGTAAACCACTATAGTGGGAACCCCTGTATACCTAAGTGTGTGGACTACCCTCATTACATGCGTATCACTAAGAGCCAATACTGGGCTCAATAAATTGTGAGTGTACATCCACATAAATACTTTTTTATTCTGGGTAATTGAACATATTACACTATATCAGTTCTTTCTTTTTTGTTCTATACCATCTGGAGTCCCCTATTGGATTAAAACACCAAGTATATCCACAGACAGGGACTGTACCACCCAAAAGCATACATTTGGAGCTAATTATCAGCTCCAGAAAACTTTAAGTGCATTACTTTTTATTTAATTCTCCTTTCAACTTACTTCACTATATTCTGCACTTTATCCTACTTTATTTATTCATTTATTTATTCACATTTTTCAAGCAGGTTTATTTATTAATTTGGATGACTATAAAAAAGTGTTTCCACTATGGAAAAAGAAAGTGACCACAGTACATTTTCATGACTGGGGATGTATTTTTTTTAAAGAAATCTTCTGAGAGGCAAAAGCTTAGAAAAAAAACAACCTGAGCGTTTGAACTCAATTCTTTTTTTGTGGTATTATAGTCCTTGTAAAATTTTAGTGTACAAGGCTCTGGATAACTTATTGCATTTTCTTGCTTGGTGTCCACTTCCTTCTCTTGCACTTTGTCCTCCTTTACAGAGAGATCTTCTAGTTTTTCTGCAACTTTGTCAGCTCTATCATTTTTGATCACTTCTTTAGAGTATTTCCCCTCAATTTCATTCTTGCATTCTTCAAACTTTGCTTTGAACTTATGAGTATTCTCTGCATTTAAAAAAACGAATGGCAAGCATTTCCGGTTTAGGAGTTTTATCTGCATAATCTGCATTTGTGTTCCAAACCCATGCTTTGTCACTTCCTGCATTGGGCTTAAGTTCCATTGAAGGTGTAACATAGTGATTTTCACAGATCTTCAGAGTTTTATCTCTTCTCATCAGAAGGAATGTACCCTTCTCCCGGTGTTTCTGCAACTTAACATCCGCAGTGCCCCTTTCTTTTCACTCAGGCAGGTCATTTTCAGATGCAAATCCAAACAATTTTGCTCGCATCCTAAATATTTCTTCTTCACCCACTTTGAGTGTCTTAATTTTTTGCTTAGGCAGTGAAAGCATTGGTTCAAAGTGAGGGTTGTGATTGGCATCCTCTGTGTTGTCAGTAGAGGTTTCATGCTCCTCCTGTGTCTCATTGGTGTCGGCCATTGGGTGGGGGATGGAGGCGGATTGAGCAGGCGGGTCATGGCTCGCCTGGATGTCTCTCTTCCTCCTTTATTTTAAAATTCTCCTTTCTAAATTTGGATTGGAGGACACCCCTAATACGCTGCTTCCCTCCTCCTTTTTTTCTATCAGTATTCATCTTCGACCAGAAAGAAGAAGAGACTCTGGTTTAGTTTTTTCCCTTCCCCTGTAGACTGTTTCAAATCTTGGTCAGTAAGTGTTCTTGGACAAGACACCTAACCATATATCTGCCTACCGCAAAACCTTATAGATTGCAGGCTCATGTAAACACGACCTTCTTCTCTAAATATCCCCCTTCTATCATTGTAAAGTCATATAAAACACTATATGTATGTAAATAGTTGTATAAGTAGTTAATTAAGCGTATGTAAGAGTCAATGTGGTTTGTTAGTTACCGTAAATATACTTGAGTATAAGCCGAATTTTTCAGCACATTTTTCATGCTGAACAAGCCCCCCTCGGCTTATACTAGAGTCAGGGTCCCACTACATACTGCGGGTACCATCATCATTTGCGGCCATGGGCTGCGCGGCAAACCGCCGGAGGCGCCGTCCAAGGGGTCCATCGGGTGGCCCATGCTGTCAGGGCCACCTGATGGATATGGATTGTCAGGGGGCCTGGTCAGCGCTGGGCGCTTTAACAGTGCCTACTTACCTTCACAAGCCTGGACGTCGACGGCATTTGAGCCAAACTCAGCAGCCGGCAACATACCCAGATGGGGACACATATCAGCGACATCAGCCTCCGTAGAGTGCTAAGTGGACGAGAGAAGCGGCCCCGCTCCCCCCTCGGCCAGTGGGGTGATCCCGGCCACATGGGGACGGCACACACCAAGCCGGAAGCCCCCGACTTGGGCCTACGCCGATCCCCTAAACTGACAATGGCTGCTAAAATGAGACCCGCCCGACAACTAGAACAAGGTGATGCAGACCAGAATGCTGGGGGACACTTCGGTACATGCCATTAACCCCGAGGTGGGCTGGACCATGGGCGGACTTCCCGGACTGCCCACGAGCCGATATCATGGCTGCCCGACCTCTGGGTGAGGTGGGCACCTGGAGGAGATTGTCCCCACTGCTGTGAGCCTGGCAGGATGGGGCGACGTGAGCCTCCGGCGGACCGGTGGCTAAGAGGCCATGCTCCCTCTGTCCTGAAGAAGTGGTCGTTGTTGGGTGAGACATCTAGGGCACCCCAAGTACTCACGGGGGTGTCAGGGGTTTAGGGGGGGGTGCAGGGGACACTGGGCCGGCGGACTCTTGGGGGGGGCACAGGAGCACATGATGTGCCCACTGAGCCACGGTGCTCCTGGGGGGCGGCCTGGGTGGGACTGGGGGCCCCACTCCCGGGGAGACCTGGCAACACGGAGTGCCCCTCGGCCTAACTGGAAAATCTGTACGCCTCACATGCTAAGTAGGTCTCGGCCCCTCATGTGACTACACAGGGCACACAGGCTTGCCATTTATGCCAACACATAGGGATTAACAGAAAAGGACCGAACCAGACATTGTTCTCATTCAGCCAGCCAGGATACACAGGTTCCACGTAAGATTCCTGTCCAAAGTATCAACACAGGAGGGCGACTGTATTACCTTTTAGGCCACGAGGCCTGTAGTTCAGATTAACACCGTATGAACTTGTTAATATTTTACGCATTCCTCAGCAATTTGAAATGAAAATAATGCAACACACTCTGTAGTAAAGGCTACATTAAGCCTCTGTTTATGTTTGATAGGTCTTGAGGATTCGAAAGCCTCAGTGATTAGTTTATGTTATATTTTCTTACATTTGTAATCTTAATTTACTATATCACATAACTGGGAATAGATATGGTACCATTTACTTATTTGAAAAGCGATATATAAAGCTGTACACTATGCAGCATCATGTCCTAATCAGATTGATATGCAATATGGTGAATATACCCATGCCCATAATTTAGTGTACAATCGAATATGTATATTATGGCACACTGCCTCAGCGGGCCTTAACACCGCGTTACTTATTACCGCTTATTTAATGGCAAGAGACATAAGACATAATTTATTAACTACACATAAGGCCATCAGCTACGAGCATCTTAATGTTTAATTGTTGAATGCCATGTATTATGCACAAGTGTACCGTGCATTTGGAGCTCTAACCTGATAGGACTAGCATATACGGCCCAAGCACCTGTTTGCAGCAAATAAAATGTTTCTTATTACGCCCATGTGATTAGATAGTGAATACATATAGGGGACACACAATATGGGCACCGCTGAAAGCTTGAATTGCTGCAAAAATATACTGCTACATGATGATATGTTCATCATATGCTTCGTGAACATTTTAGACTCCACTATGCCTATATTATTTGACCGTTATGTTACTGTTCTATCTTTGCAAGGAATTACCGATAGCTTAGCACCCGACTTCACAGTGATGACGTTAACCTTTTTTAACCTTTTTAAGTTTCTTATCGCTATTACAGGCTTTAATTATTAGCATAATACCATTTTAAAATACAAAGGACTGAATAAAATCTTATTTGTTATGTTACACATGCCTTGACAATACCGCCTCTGCGCAGGCGGCAAAATGCATACACCTTTGTGTACCATTGCTCACACCCCTGCGCGGGCGACCATATGCTTTATCATAAACAAGTCTGATAACTGCGTCATGACGTGATAACAATAGAAATATTCAACACAAATTCCCACCACGAATTACAGTGTGCGCACATGTTAAAGGCTGGATGGATGAAGACAGAACAAAAAAATGGCTGGAAGAAATTTTGACGACCAGGAGCAGCCTTAAAGAAAAAAACATCATTGCTAGTTTGGGATATGTTCAGAGCCCACACATCTGATGACATAAAAAAAATTGGCAGCATCTTCTCAAGTTACTGTGGCCGTTATTCCCGGTGGGCTAACATCTGTATTGCAGGGGCGTGGCTTGGACATCGACCAGAATGGTAGCATAAGTTGTGAGCTCCGCTCCACCGGTCCTTATTGAGCCCTATTAATCAGCCTACTTTTGCCTCTATGGGTCGGAATCGCCGGGGTGACCCTCCCGGGACCCCCAGGGGATCCCAGAACAGTCAGTTGCTTGGTCCGATGGACGGATTTCTACAAACGCCGGCGGACGCACGAGAAGAGGCCGGAGGCTCCAAGATGGCGGCCGCCTCCCAGCCGCATGGGGACCCCCCTACCTCTACCCTGGAGGGCATCGGTGAGGAGCTCCGCACGATTGCGGCTTCTATGGCCACGAAAGCTGACCTTTGGTCCTCACCACCACGATCCAGGACGCACTGCGGGCTGAAATGGCGGGACTCCGAACGGAGGTATCCGCACAGGGGAGTCGTATCCAGGACCTAGAGCATTCCCGCGAGGCTCACGCGGCCAGACAAGCAGCCACTGACGGCAAGGTGACCTGCTACTACAATTGCGAAGATCGGTGGAAGATCTCGACAACCGTAGCCGCAGATGTAACATCCGCATACGCGGCATGCCGGAGGCGGAGGGCGATGAGAACTTAGACGAAATTCTAACAGCACTCTTCCGCATGGTCCTACCCAGAGACGTCCCGCTGGAACTCCGCTATGATAGAGCGCACAGAGCCCTGCGACCCCGCTCCCTCGAGGATGGCCCACGTGATATTATTTGCTGCATCCACTCGTTTGCCACGAAGGATGCCATAATGAAGGCGGCCAGGGCACAACCTACATGGGACTTTCGCGGCACGCCTGTCTCATTGTTTAACGATCTGTCTCCAACTACCTTAGAAGCCAGGCGCGCGCTGCGCCCTATCACATCTCTGCTCAGGACTCGCAATATTCCCTACAAGTGGGGCTTTCCATTTGCCCTGTCGGCAAGACACCGAAATGGCTGGGTGTCACTCCGCGGGCCGGAGGAAGCCCCCGGTTTCTTGGAAGCACTAGACCTCCCTCCTGTCCAGGTACCGGATTGGGTCCTGGGCCCCCTGGGGGCAGGCCAGAGGCCGCAACGAGCACCCCGCCGCCGCAGAGGCCGATCACCACCGGAGCCTGCTCACCGTGACCGCGAGGCATAAGGAGGCCAGATCTGAGGACCGCCTCCCCGCCGCTCCACTGTTCAGGTACCATCATTCTGCCCTACAGCACCCTGGGACTGGCCGCTGGTGCGATGCCTCTCTCCCCCCACTTCTCCCCCTGTGACACGTATGAGCACGCCATGACCCACACAAGATTAATAACGGGAGGAGGTTCCGCTCACCTGCACCTTGGGAGGGCCGTGGGGTGATTTGGGATATCCCCTCTCCGTTACCTGGGCTCCTCAAGCGGGCACTGCATCCGGACTGCGCTCAGAACGGGATACTGTCGCCCCCCCCCCTTTTTTTTTTTCTCTCCTCTGTCCTCATAATATGTACCTGGGCTCCTGGCTACTGGCCCCGCACCCCGGGCAACCGCTATGGGATCCCCATCTGAGATCTTGGGGTGGGGGGAACCGGGGATGACAGTGGGCACACTGCTCCTCGCTGCACAGGGGAGCTCGGACAGCTTGCTATAGCAATGCACGCATCGGTGTGAGGATTGGAGACTCCTTCAATGGACACCACTAACTCTAGCTGAACGCAGTATTGAAATGGTTGGCCCAGAGGGTCCCCTTGCTCTGATAAGTACCGTATTCTTTGACATGTGTGGGATCTACCTAGTATGTGAAAGCTCATAGCACAATGTGGCGAGGGGAGAGGATGAAGAGGGGAACAAGGACATTCAGTATTGCGTTTGGGGGGGAGGGGTGAGAAGAGATGGACAGGGGAGAGGAGGGAAGAAGGAAGGGGGGAGACGGGGAGGAAAGGGGGACGGACATGAAGGGGAAAAGGGCAAGGGGGAAGAAGAGGGAGAAAGGGAAGAGGAGGAAGAAGGGGAAAAAGAGAGGGGAAGAGAGGAAGAGGGGGGAGAGGAGGAGAGAGAGGAGAAAAGGAGAAAGGAGAGCATAACCCCAAAACTTATAAACAAAAATGAAAATAAAAAATCTTCAATAAGTCAGCAGGGGTTGGGAGGAGGGACACTGATCTGTTCACGGAGGATTCTCAGCCCAGGCCCACGGGGCCTATCCTAAGTGCCTATGCCCTACCTGACCACGACATCCACACAGGGGGGGCGCTGGGGAAGGGGGGATGGCGGTAATACACTCACTTGGTCTGGCTAAATCAAATCGCCCCCGGCATCGCACACCCACGGGTTTCTGGGGAGCTGATTGAGGGGACGAGGAGGGGACGCGGCTGGTGCCTGCGCGTTGTCCCGGGGAGTTGGAATGGGGTAGACGCAGAGCAGGAAGACACACGGGGGGGCTGGCGGGAACTGTATTATCACTGGATGGTACACTTGTTATAAATGTTATATTTGTTCATGCATTAACCCCTCTGTTGAAGTTAAGTTGCCTCCTTATTGGCTCGACCTAATCACTCAGATCTTTGTGCACCTGGGCATGGACTCGGATGGAGCCGGTCAGACCGGACTATATCTTACTCACTCACAGTATACCCACCTTGGTATAGACACCAACCACTGCCTTACATACTAGCTTGCGCGTAACTCCCGGTGGAGGCACAGGCGCACCCACACGCCGATCAGGTTATCGCGTGTGACGCCTGGCCACTCCTACTGGGGCGCAAGTGCCTCTCATTTCGAAGGAGGCTCCGGGGCGCTCCCACCTTTTGACCCCGCAGGGTACATACCCAAAGGGGGGCCCGACCTGCCCACCCTTATTTTAATTGTTTTTTTTTTTCTTCTTTTTGACTTTGGACTTTTTCAATCACCTTATTCGCTTGCTATACTGACGTACACACACACACTCACTGGTACTCACTCTACCCCTTCCCCACCACCACATTTCACACACAGGCTAGGTTCAGACACCTGCAGGCAACTATCCGAACCGCCCATACGGAGACAATAGCTGACGAGACGCTTGGGTCCCTACCCATACGGAGCCGCGTACGAGACACGCGAACAGACACTAGCCGCATTAAGACATACATCATCGCTGGGCTGCACCGCCGTTCCGGGGCCGGGCGCCGTGCGGTCACAACTCTGGTGGATTTGCGCTGTCTCGGGTGGGCGAGACCATGGCATACCGCCGCGCCCACATGTCCGTCATGACACTCAACTGCAGGGGATTAAATATTCCGGAACGACGTACACACCTCCTCAGGGTACTGCGTCAGAAACGCACGCCAATAGTGTTGCTGCAGGAAACTCACTTCAAGGAAGATGCGGCCCCCAAGCTTCGCAACGCCTATTACCCCCTAAACTACTGCAACAATCACCCGCTGGCTCGCCAAGTGGGAGTTGCTATCTTGATAGCGGCAGACTTAGGTTTCCGTGAACTGGACAGAATGGCTGATGACCAGGGACGCTTCCTCTTCCTTAAGGGAGTAATAGCCGACAGAGTGTACACTCTTGCATCCATATATGTGCCTAACTCCAGGCAAGCTCCATTCCTCAGGGGCACGCTACGTAAACTGCAGGGATTCTTGGAGGGAGCATTGATCGTGGGGGGTGACCTTAATGCCCCTCTGGAACCGCTTATAGACTCATCCACTGGACACTGCTGCCTCCCACAGTCCCATATCAGATCCATACGCAAATCCTTGGGGGAGCTTACATTGGTTGACTGTTGGAGGACAATGCACCCTGCCGATAGGGACTACACCCACTACTCTGCCATACACGACCGCTACTCCCGGATCGACTACATCCTGATTAAACAAGAAGGATTATCTCGACTACGAAAAGCATCTATGGAACCGGCCACGTGGTCAGATCACGGATCGGTTCAGATAGAGCTTGAATCTCCGCTCTTCAAACCGGCGATTCGGACGTGGCGCCTGAACGAATCACTGCTCCAGGACCCCTCGGTAAAAAACGAGATCTCCCAAGCGCTGGAACGCTACTTTGAAGAGAATGGGTCGGGGGATATGTCTCCGGTGACTGTGTGGGAGGCCCACAAAAGTGTCATACGCGGCTCTCTTATCGGCATTGCAACCCGCAAAAGGAAGGAGGCCACACGCAATATGACTGAACTTTATGGCATCATATCGCGCCTGGAACTCCAGCACAAACGCTCTCAGATGGTCACGATCTATAGAGATCGCATGGAAGCCAGGCGAAACTTGAAAGCCCTCCTCACACAAAGGTACCTCTGCTCGATGCAAACATCGAAATCCTTTTTCTACACCCACGCGAACAAAGGAGGAACGTTTCTTGCTCGCCTCCTGAGAGGAGAAGTGGCTCGCACCCAGGTGAGGAAACTCTGTCTGACATCCGGCAAGGTCTCTCAGCACCCGGAGGATATAGCCGGGGAATTCCGGGCATATTATAATTCTCTATATAACCTACATTCCCAGGATAGCCCAGCTCACAGAAGGGACTCATCGCAACACACTCAGACATACCTACAGGAACATGTGAGGAGAAGGGTATCCCCTGAGGAAGCATCCACGCTAGATGACCCAATTACCACGGAGGAACTAGCGGCAGCCCTAAAAGCCACAAAAACAGGTAAGGCTCCGGGTCCGGATGGGTTCTCCACGGGCTACTACAAAAAGTTTACTGATATCTTACTACCGTGGCTGACACAAGCTGTAAATAAAGTGGCAGAGGGGGGAACCTTTGGCGCGGAATCCTTGTCAGCAACAATAACGGTCTTACTCAAACCCGGGAAGGACCCAGAACAGTGCGGCAGCTACCGCCCGATCTCCCTACTAAATGTGGACACAAAGCTCTTCACAAAAGCTCTGGCGTCCAGACTTCAACGGATCTTACCGAGCCTTGTCCACGTGGATCAGACAGGTTTCATCCCGGGCCGGGAAGCGCGGGACAGCACGCTGCGCCTGTTCTCTATACAACATCACGCCCGGAAATATCAAAAGCGCCTTCTGCTGTTGTCCACGGTCGCGGAGAAGGCCTTCGATAGGGTCAACTGGGCATACATGACCCAGGTCCTCCGGCATATGGGTTTGGGACAGGGGATCTTGACGTGGATCTCTGCCCTATATAGCTCACCGAGAGCGGCGGTGCGTGTGAATGGAGCCCTGACTACGAGCTTTGGAATCTCAAACGGGACTAGACAGGGCTGCCCCCTCTCACCACTCCTCTTCGCCCTCTCTCTGGAGCCCTTCCTACAGGCGATCCGGGATCACCCGGATATCCAAGGCTATTCATGGCGAGACACGGAGCATAGGGTGGCCGCATACGCGGACGACCTATTGTTCTTTGTCTCCCAACCACGGCTCACACTGCCCTGCCTGCTGTCAGAATTCGACAAATTTGGCCAGATATCGGGATTCAAGCTCAACTTGGCGAAATGTGAGACTCTGAATATTAACATACCCACAACGGAATACGAGGCTCTAAGTTCACTCTTCCCATTTCGTTGGTGCACGGGAGCAATGAAATATCTCAGTATCTGGATCCCCACGGACCCGGGGGAAACCTATCGGCGTAACTTAGCGCCTCTTCTGCAGAAAATTGAACTGGACCTCAAAAGTTGGGCTTATCCGCACATCACATGGCACGGCCGAGTGGCAGTACTTAAAATGAACGTTCTTCCGAGGGTCCTCTACCTATTTCAGACGATCCCGATCGCACTACCGGCGACGTTCTTCTCGATCCTAAAAACGGCGGTTATTAAATACGTGTGGCGAGGGGAGAAGTCCAGGTTGCGCCACGACCTCTTATGCCAGCCCAGACACAGGGGGGGCCTTGCGCTCCCGGATTTTAAAAAATACCACCAAGCTGCAACGCTACAGCGCATCCTGGAATGGCACGAAACAGACACGATCAAGCAATGGGTAACGCTGGACCAAGAGGGGAACGCTGCAAAACTAAAAGCCGCGACATGGAGGAGAAGGGCGACTTGGAGTGGTAGAGGGCACAGCGAGGATCCGGGATCGCAAACCCTACTCACATGGGGGACTCTCAGGGAGGAGCCGCGGATATCCCCGACCCCCAGCCCCCTACTGCCGATAACACACAACCCCGATATAGGGGGCGGCCTGCCGGCGGAAGCCTGGTCATTCCTAGGGGATGCGGAATACATTCCGATTCACAAGGTCACTCGGGACGGCACCCTAGACACCCTGGACACGTTGCTGGGAAATCGACCGCGGTCCCCGATGACGGTTCTTCGCTATATGCAACTAAAACACTTCCATGACTCGCTCCCCCACAAGGAGAGGTTACAGAGAGATCTCACATGGTTCGAGGGCCTCTGTACTCATGGCAGGCCACTTGGAAAGGCTATCTCGAACCTATACCAATACCTGCTGACTGATTCCACCTCGGAGAATAATATGTTTCAACGACGCTGGGAGGAGGCAATGACCAAAATATTCTCACCAACACAATGGGACAAAGCATTAATATGGCAGCACAAAAGCTCCTCTAGTTCGCACTACCAGGAGGTGAACTATAAACTGCTCTCTATGTGATATAGGACTCCGGTACTACTTCACAGAATTTTCCCCACTACCCCACCAACTTGTTGGAGATGCATGGATGATAGGGGCTCGCTTCTGCACATCTGGTGGGAATGCAGACTCATCACCCCATATTGGGACCAGATCGAATCTGACGTCCGACTGATCCTCGGCAACGACGTTGAGTGGTCGGTCGAACTAGCCTTACTACATATCTCCTCGCAACCACTGCCCGCCTACAAAAAATCTATTATGCGACATCTGTTGAATGCAGCCAAATCGCTCATACTGTTGTATTGGAAGAAGACAGATGTACCCACCCAGGAGGAATGGATACACAAAGTAGAAGATATCAGGGCGGCTGAGGCGGTCCAGGCAGGACTGATGGATAGGATGACGAAGCACACTGATATGTCGGCGCCGTGGTTTGCCTTCCGCGCGGGATAAGGGGAGGGGTGTCGGTTCGGGGTCTGGGCACCTGGGGGGGCGGTGTGGCCCCTGCGATATACCCACACTACATACTGGGATTCCGGCCCCCTCTAAGGCACTGACGGGCACAATCATCACGCTCCCACACCATTCACATAATCCTGATCAGGAGGGGAACCACATCCCTAGATACTTAGAGACGGCAGGCGGAAACGACACTACACAAGGGGAGCTCAATCACTGTCCCCAAGACAAACTGACCCTCTCCGACTTAAGGGCGCCACAACCAGGTGACCTCAATGATGGAGGCAGACGTTACACAGTCACAAAAATCATGTGACATGACCCCCAATATAACAGGGCTCGCTCGGGCCCGCTCTGACCCACACTATGCTCTCCTTGCCCTTGACTTCGGGACCCGAACCAGGCCTACGCACCATTAGCCTGCAAGCTCTGACCCCTGGGGCCGAGCCGTGACACAACACATCATGACATCCTCTTACACTCATCATATACGGCAGACGCTTCTGTAAATCTGTAGAAAAATAAATTCGGGGGAACCATGTATATAGAGTTTCCCATGAGGACTTCGCCGTAGAAAGCCTGGATGGGCTACATACGGACATCTAACAGGGCGTGACATCACCGCCCTTCTCTTGAAGACCACGGTCCCTACTGACACATAACACTGACCGCAACCTGACCCCGACAAAGTAATTAATTATTCCTGCTTACGGTCTTTACAGGGATGTATACTACTCATACGCTGTGATCATACAACCGGGTCCCATAACGAGCCCACGAAACCAAGACATGTCATCCCCATACTTTGGTGCTTTGTACTACATACGCACATCACTTCCATGTGTAACTCTCTTCCACTGGGTACTACTGTGACATCACGCACCCTGATGCGCTTATACAGTAAACAAGAAAATAACAGACCCCCCCCATAGGTGGGTACACGAACCTGTGAACACCACATACAACACACTGTTCACACAACCCTAGCCTTAGACAACAAGGCACTGCCATCACACAACTCTCACGTGCCGTAGCACCGTCACTCCATCTAGAGAACGAAAATGCACCTGGAATTCACGAAAGGTTATAAGTGACAAATTGTAACTATAAACTGTTATTGAACACTGTTTTCCTTATTGAATGCTATACCTGTAGGAATCTCTACGGTCTTTACACTGTACTCAAACCCTATTATTGCGGGCATGCGTGCCCAACAATACTGTTTTCACTGATACTCAATAAAACTTGATTAACAAAAAAAAAAAAAAACATCTGTATTGCAGCCCCCAGATATGTGTTTAAATAAACCTTTCAAAGACTGTGTAAGAAAGATGTGGCATGAATGGATGTCATCTGGTCAAGCCCGACTGACAAAAGTTGGAAATCTGATGAAACCCGACATAGAATTGATAGCTAAGTGGGTTCGTGATGCATGGGAAGAGATTCCAGAGGACATGGTGCAACGCTCCTTCAAGAAATGTGGCATTAGTAATGCTATGGATGGTGATGACTGCGAACTCAGTGATGATGACAATGTCTATGCTGATAACCTCACACCAGCTAAAGCTGAAGCTCTGTTTGGACATACAGATGATGAGGAGGAATCCAGTTTTGAAGGATTTTAACTCTTGTGTTTAAACTTGGTTGCTGATTAAGCTAAGGTTTTTGTACTTTTAAAGTTATTGTTGATACCATATTGTTTTTGTTGACCCTCTTTTCCACTTACAGAGCTAGTTTACTGTTTTTCTTTGACATAAATATTCAAAAACTTTTAACCTACTGATGCCTCAATTAATGTAATTTTATTGGTATCTATTTTTATTTTTGAAAATTACCAGTAGCTGCTGCATTTCCCACCATAGGCTTATACTCGAGTCAATATGTTTTCCCATTTTTTTGTGGTAAAATGAGGTGCCTCGGCTTATATTCGGGTCGGCTTATACTGGAGTATATACGGTATATGTGTATGAAAGACTGATCTTGTGCGTGACCGACTGTAGTCGGGGGCACATTAATATGACTGCCCCTAAGGCAGCCTAATACTTAATTACATCACTGTGTGCAAGTGCAGCAGCTCTAATAACTTTAAAATGATGGGGGTTTTTTAACTTAAATCAGTTTGCATTTTAAATGTATTATCTATGTAATACATTAATAGTTGGGGGTCATTTACTGGAATCGAGTCTATTTAAACATAGACTTACATTTTCTTTAAAAGTGTTTTGGTTCTAATGATTTTTTTTTTAAAAGTAAAAGTATAACAGAAAGATATCATCATATCAAATAACTGTATCATTTTCATAAGTGGTATTAAGTCACTGTGTTATCTAAAACCCTGTTTAGCATGAAATAAAAAATATCCAGTAAAA